GGGTACGTCTGTTACTATGACTACATATCCTGCAATAACACACAAGCTGTGTCTCATTTACAATTTACGCCCTTCATGTGGGAATGGTGGTGCATTCCACACTGAACAACCAAAAAGCACTCTTTAGATTCTTATCTTACAGCGCTGTGTAACGCTCACTCATTAGAGTGAGGTAAATGAATGTACAGCTTTACTGCAGTTAGTTCACTGTCATTGATATCTTCAGCGGATATCAGCACATATTTATACAGACAAAAACACGAGTGGATTTAACCATGATTTCACTTGATCAAGGTTTCATAATTCTCCCAAAAGTAATAATAGCGTTCGGACGTCCGTGCCTTTCTGAATACAGACACCAACCCATCCATGCACATCACATCCCCTGCACAGCCTGGAACACAACATTTATTTCCATGATCTGCCATTTTTGCTATTATCCTCGCTTGTTTCTTCACAATACCTGCAGAACTTCTGATGATTCAGCTGTGCCGGTTCGGCTGGCGGCTGGCATAGAAAATGGGCGGTTATATGCAAATGTTGGGGGTGTAACTATTAGTGATCCCGACTGTAACGTCACAGTCGGTGTTATGTTCTGATTCACCTGGTCTTTTGCATGCACAAGATTTACATAAGGAGGAAACAATGGTGTTTGAGGCTCACGGTATGTCATTTCCATGTACAGAACTGTTATTATTCAACTATGCCAAGGTAAATACGGTTTTCCATTCTATGGCACCTTTAATTATTTTTGTGGTGAAATGTTGTGTAATAAATGGTTTGACTGCACCGTTTCCCTAAAGTAAATACAGTTTTCCATTCTATGGCACCTTTAAGTATATTTTATAAACGTGCCTTAGAAAAAACATTACTGGTGTGCATCTTGTGACAAATCAATAGTACCAACATAATTTAAGATATGTCAGTGCAAGTTTCTTACAGTTAAAACAGAACAGACATGCATTTTAGTCTGGGACTAGGCTTAAGCCTTGTCTGTGAAACCGGGGGATAGTGTTTTATTTTAGCATACAGTACATAGCATTAGTTTACAATTACATTAGTCACAGTATGTCAGGTTCTCCCAGTTAGCATAGACATCATACATCAGACCCTGTCAGTGAAGATGATGTATGGTCATTGACTCATCGGTCATTGTTGTACTTGATCACACTGTCACAGTATTTCCAAAGACCATAAACATTGTTTACAGTGAAATGTCTTATATCTGAGTACGTGGGTCCAGGTTTTTAGAAGCCAAGTGTGTGTGAATAATTTCTGGTATGCATGGGTGCGCACCTGTATCAGGGATGTGACATGATGGGCAATTTACAGTTGCAGCTCCAGCTAGTTCTTCCTCACTGCTCAAATGATTAACTGAACACATTTGCTATTTGAAATTGATTCATTGGAAATTAATAAGCTTAATTAAATTAAATTAAATGTTTTTGTTGATTAATCAGTGTTCTTCGAACTCTGGTGCAGCTGAGAAAGTCTTGTCACACTCACTATAGTTTGATTTTGGAGGATTTGGAATTGCATAAACGCCTCTTGTCAGGAAAAGCCCATAGCTTGACATGTCACTCAATTAAGCTGCAATGGGTGTCTCTTCTGGTGGTCCTCATGACAACGTCCTGGTTAATAGCACATATCAGTTGTGGAATAATAATTTTGCTGTCTGAACATGGCAGTAATTTTACATTATAGACAAATCTCTCTAATCTAGCCCATATTTAAACCAAGACATCTAGAAATGCCAGTTAGGTAGTATTTAAGCATCTCAGAAACAGACAGCCTCTGCTATTATTTCAAAATTATGACAGTTTGGAACTTGATGAGTCACATAATGTGAAAACTGAGCACAGCTGCATTTATCCTCAAATGACAAGAAACCCAGTCTCAGTCCCACACTCTCATGACTAATCTCAAACAAGAGAGCATAAAATGCTTTTAGCTGGGATTTTAAAGTGTGAAGTGTATAATTTCTGTGTCATTAGCGCAGCAATGACTGTTTTCAAACAGGTTTTCTGAACAGATGGTTCAGGCCATTGGTCAGCAGATAGTACCCCTCAAACGTAAAATAGTTAAAGGAACAGTTCACCCAAAAATAAAAATTCGCTGGAAATTTACTCACCATCAGGCCAACCAAAATGTAGATGAGTTTGTTTCTTAATTGGAACAGATTTGGAGAAATTTAGCATTACATCACTTGCTCATCAATAGATCCTCTGCAGTGAGTTGGTGCCATCAGAATAGTCCAAACAGTTAATAAAAGCTCCAGTGAATCCATCAATTAACGTCTTGTGAAGTGAAAAGCTGTGTGTTTGCAATAAACAAATCCATTATTAAGACGTTTTTAACTGCAAATCATTAGAGCTGGGTTGAAAATATAAATTTCTCGATTTTAATCGATTCTCATTTTGATAAACCGATGTTGATCTTCAAGCTGATGGTGAACAAAATGAAGCATTGAATTGTAATGAAGCATTATTTGAAGCGTACCTTAAATCACAATTTTTGTTACTTTTTATATGAACCAAAGTCTCAGCTTTCTATTTCTGTTAATTTTATTACAAAATTCAAACAACAACGTTTTGATGTATGCCATAATGTATCATGATAGATCACATAGTCGCCTCAGTTCAGGCGGCAGTTTGGAGCGCGAGTCATCTCTTTCACCTTAATACAAGTTATAGCTCAAAATAAACATGAATGTACATCAGAAGGTATGTTGAAAGAAACAGTACTTGATATTAATGTTAAAATAACCTCAGAAAAGTCATTCAATGGCCACAAACTCGATGGTTAGCTAGAAAATAAACTTTGGAAAGGAGCATTTTGCTAAATATATGCATTATATTACAATATATTTTTACTTAATCTGTTCTGCAATATTTCATGTATGTTTGAATAAATCTGTCATGAAAACAAGCTATGACATCTACTGTTTAAATGTTTATATTTAAAAAATAAGCTGGAATAGAAACATATCATTTGAAACAAATAAACAAATATGTCAGTTGGTTTTGATGTGAGAGAACAACAGGGCATCGACTCACTGGAAGAAGCGTTTTTATAATTAGGGAGTCTTATTTTGGCCAGAAGTGACAGTTTTAAGTTAAAATGCTTAATGATGGATTTGTTTCTTACAAACACACACCTTTTTAAGCCGTTAACTATTGGACAGGAGTTGTTACTGGTGGATTATTGCAATGCTTTTATGAGCTGTTTGGAGTTTCATGCTGACGGTGCATGTAATGCTAAATTTCTTAAAAGCTATTCTTCAAATCTACATCTTAAGTAAATTTTCATTTTAAAATGTATTTATCTGTGTTGGATTTTACTATTGGTGCATCCCACCCTACAGATGTCTTGCTTGCAGTTCTCTTTGCGTATTAAGCCAAGATAGGAGAATATATATATATATATATATATATATATATATATATATATATATCATATTAAAAAACTGCACACCATAATTTTAAGTAGTCCTAGACGTAGAATTTCTACAATTAATTTTGCTACAGTTTTTTTTTTTTAGTTGCTTTGTCATCATCAGGGTTGGGAAGGTTACTTTTAAAATGTATTCCGTTACAGTTACAAATGACTTAATTAAAAATGTATTCAAGTACTTTACTTGTAATCCACTTGTAATCCAAGTACCACAATATGAAAGTAATGTAATCTGATTACTTTTGGATTCCTTTTCGTTACATATGTAAATAGTCAAAAAAAGCAATATCTAAGTACTTTTATTTAAAGGGGTCATATGATGCAATTTCAATTTTTCCTTTCTCTTTGAAGTGTTACAAGCTCTTGGTGCATAAAGAAGATCTGTAAAGTTGCAAAGACTAAAGTCTCAAATCCAAAGAGATATTCTTTATAAAAGTTAAGAGTCAACCACGCCTACCTAAAACGGCTCGTTCTAACACGCCCCCACATGTCAACATATTATTTTTTTATTTCTTTAACATGTACAAGTAAAAATAAATATAGTTTATACACAATATTAAAACATTTACACCATATTAGTCTATTTTAAAATAAGCCAGCCTACATGTCGAAATGTATGTGAAATGCTATAATCTTTCTTTATTTCATTGACTGATCCAGGGTGTGGGGACTCTCGTGTTAATTTCTAAATTTTCCAGCTCATTTTCCGCTAGAAAACTTACACACAACTGCAGTCATGCACACCATGGAATTTTAAATAACTAACAAACACTAAATTTTAGCTAACATAATGATTTCCATGCTAGTCGTGCCTGCACATGTTCAAGTTGGTTGAGTAGGCTTTGTTAAAGCAAGAGTCTTCATGCATATTTCCTTTGTCCTCTTTGAAAACAAAACAACTGTGAAATTTCCAGACATGAAAACGTTTTTCCCAGCAGCGTCTCATCCCACGTTTGAGGAGAATAGTGAATAGCAGGTGGCTCATGTGAGCCAACATGTGTCACCAGAACCAGGAACTATGATGAAGCAGCGCTAAATATAGCGTTATTATGCAAAAATACTCATTGGTGAACCCTGAGACTAACACTAAACATGCATCTGCAGCAAAAACTATAAATTGAGGTGTGTATGAAGGTTGACACACCATAATTGCACCAATTTGAGCCCTGATTTAATCACTGGATGTGTAATGAATCATCTGCGCTGTGTCATGAATGTTTAGAGCAACTGTTACAGACAGATATGGGCAGATGTCAGGATCCTGTGAGGTAAAAAAAAAAAACACTCCATGTCACCAGTATGTCTGAAGAAATATTGCTTCTCCAGGCCTTTATACCATGTCCTGTTGTCCTGGATTTAGACTTGTGTTGTCTCCTGTTGGCTTGGGGTGAGCTTGAGGGTAAATGGTCAGTAAAGCCCCAATATGAAGATAATGTAAAGCAGTTGGACATTATTCCACAAAGTTGGAAATCCAGCTAGGCTGATTCCATAGTTTATCTCTCAGTGTGCAGTCAGAGGAAGCCACGATAACCCTCAATCTCTGCTTCTGATCACAGATCAGGCCGTCAGCTCAGCGAGGTCTTTGTGCAGCTGCCCTCCAGGAAAGAGCTCCCTGAATACTATGAACTGATAAGGAAGCCAGTGGACTTCAAGAAGATCAAGGTAAGTGAGTTACAGTATGTCTTTTATTTCAGTGTAACCCTTAAGCCTGCACACATCTGAACATCACACATTATATGTAGGGATGCACCGATACCACTTTTTTCAGTACTTGCCCGATACCGATACTTTTATTTTTTTGTACTTGCCAATACCAAGTACCGATACCAATATTTTTATTGCATTTGTAAAAAATTTTAAATATTGGGTACAGAAACCAAAAGAGTATGTATAATGTTAGTTGGTTAACTTCATTTATCAAATAGATACAGTCAAACCTAAATTTATTCAAACACCTTCAACATTTCTCACATTATCACAGTTTATTCGCTATAGTTTAGAAAATGGTAATAAAATATGACAAGAACTCAGAGTTAAACTGAGTCAGAACAAATTCAGCTTGATAATGTTAGATAACTTTGATAGAAAGGTATGTAATAGATTACAATCAACCAAAAATTAGACAGCTGTTAGTATGACAGCATTTACACAACTATCAATACTTAGTCGGGCAGCCCTTAGCCTTAATGACAGCTTGTAGTCTTCTGGGCATGCTGTCACCCAGCTTCATGCAAACCTGAACTTCAATGTTTTTTCCCAGACTCGGTCTGAATAATTTTTCTCCATTCTGCTGTCTTTTGTTCTGTTGTCGGTGTTTCTTTGTCTGAATATGGCGCTTATCACATGCTGTGTGGTATCGGCGTTTGGTATCGGGGCATTTTAACGCGTACGAGTATGAGTACAGGAGCTCAGTATCGGGCCTATCCCTAATTATATGTTCTGCTGTGACATATTGTCGTACGAGCAGAACTTGCACACTCATTACTCCAGCTGGATGATAACGGGATTACCCTGCCATAGAGAATTGGTTTTTGTTTCAAGACGAGATAAACTGATGTTTTCGTCCTTATAAAGGGTTGCTTTACTTGTCTGACGTGTTTTTTGTGTTCATTTAATAATGTTGGTTTCTCTCATTATCTGTAGTAACTCTAACTGGCAATTTCCTGAGTTGTTAAAGTTGGCCCCTACAGGTGAAGGATGTTTCGGTGTTAGAAATGTTCTTGTTCTTGCAGGAGCGTGTGCGCAACCACAAGTACAGGAGTGTGAGCGATCTGGAGAAAGACGTCATGCTTCTTTGTCACAACGCTCAGACTTATAATCTAGAGGGCTCTCAGGTGAGTGAATAAATGGATTGAACACCTTCCATTACTGTATGAATTGCCTAGTAGCACTACACCATGGTCTTGCAGTGATTATTTGTTGCATGAGTTCCATGAAGTGCCTGTCATATATGCAGACAGTAAGCATGTCGTAAGGGACTTTCGCACTGCTTTAGTTCCAGAACTAAATGTACAGTACTAAAGTACTGGGAAGATTTTGCGCTAACTATTTCCCAGTACCATTTAAAGGGTTGCATTCGCACCGACAGTGTATACTAGGAAGTGACGTAAGCCGGTCGACAGCGACGTCATTTGTGCGCGGCGTTCAACAACGGAAACAAAGAAGAACAACATTAACAACAGGAGAATGGAGGACGCTGTGATCAGAGCTGTGTTTTTGTTGTGTCTCGCGGGTTTCACAATAATGGACATGGAATGTCGATGTATACGTAAAGCGATTGAAAGAACGGAAAGGAGGACTAAGAATCTCCAACGACAACTGGCAGTGCTAAATTTGCTACAAGTGCCTGCACTTCAGCGTCCGTCCATCTATCGCTGTTCTCCATACTTGCGAAATAAGTTGACACAATGTTTACAGTATGTTTACACGGCGTTTTAAATCATGGCGGGTGAGGGCGTTTTCATGCGCGTTTGGCCAATCAATGTCTACTTACATCACGGGTAGTACCAGTTGTGCTGGTTAGACCCTGCTCCGGAGTAGGAGCTTATTTGGTTCTCGAAAAAGGCAGTCCGGTACTAAAATCGCACCCAGTTCCGGCGGTGCGAAGACGCCAAAAAGTGGGTAGTTCCACAATTAGTTCTGGTACTTTGAAAAGGTTCCCACAGTGCGAAAGGCCCTATTACTGTACAAAGACTTGAATAGTCACTGATCTGTTTGAACAGTGGCTATCATGCACTATAAAATTTGGATTTTGGGTTTGTCTGAAGTGTACTACTGCCCATACCCACGTGTAATTAATTTAAAGCTTTATAAGAAATGCACATTATATTTATATATTTACATAATTTTTATGCAGATCTCTTCACGCAGTACTTTCTTGATGCATTGTGGATTATGTATTTTTGAGAGGATTACTGGATTACTGACCAGATTTTGTCTGTGTGTTTGAAACCAATATTTCATCTTTTCTGAAATGAGCACAATCTGTACAGGTGCATCTCAATAAATTAGAATGTCGTGGAAAAGTTCATTTATTTCAGTAATTCAACTCAAATTTTGCATTGAATTTATTTAATACACAAGTTTCACAATTTGAGTTGAATTACTGAAATAAATGAACTTTTCCACGACATTCTAATTTATTGAGATGCACCTGTATATGGAGTCCAGACCGCTGCAAAAATATAATAAACGTTTTATCCTGTCGCTTCAAACAGTTCTTAGCATCAATTTTTATTTGAAAGGAGTGCTGCACATATGCGTTTATTAATATTTTCACTTCACCTTTCCAGCTTTTAAAACATTTTCAGAAATGTATTGACATGCATATTACTGGCATTAAAGATATCTTAATTTGTTCCTGTTTTGTTTGTTTGTGTTATTACTTTTAATTCACCCTTGTTTTTTGTAGATCTATGAGGACTCCATTGTTCTCCAGTCAGTATTCAAGAGTGCAAGACAAAAGCTTGCTAGGGAGGAAAGCGATGATGAAAGCAATGATGATGATGATGATGATGATGACGAGGAATCAGAGGAAGAATGTACGATTTTTCATTAACAAAGGACCAGTTTACTGATACTGATTAAACTAAGGCTCAACATATCCCTTAAAATTGCTTGAGAAGTGCAGTTTTCTTTGTTTTGTTAAAGTAAGAGGCACATATCAAAAGCCTAAACCCTTTTTTTAAATAGTCATAAAGCCACCTTTTCATTATCTCTGAAGTCAATGATTTCCATTCAAGAGTAGTATAAGAACTGCAGAGTTCCGATCAGAATTTTCAGAACTGATTTGAGCATTGAAATATTTAACCTTTTGCAACTAGAACAAAAGCGGCCACCAGACCAGATGTGATGCATTTTATTTTAAAACATTGAGGTGAGAATTATTAATGTTTTTGCTTTAAAACATTAATCTTTAAACATTATTTTTGTAAAATAAGTGGTTATGAATATGTATGTTTGTTCTTTTAGATGTATTGGTGGTCATTTGTTTTGTGCAGATATAATTATAAATTCTTTTTTTTTTTTTACTTGAATAAGTGAGTGTAACAGTTGCTTAATGGCCAGTTTGAAAGTTCCATGCAACCTCCGCTAGGGGACAAAATGTGACAATTGTATGCAGATGTCAGAGATAGTAGAAAGGTGGCTTAAAGGGGTCATATGATGCTTTTTTAAAGATCATTATTTTGTGTATTTGGTGTAACAGAATATGTTGACATGCTTTAATGTTCAAAAAACACATTATTTTTCAAATACTGTACATTATTGTAGGTCCTCTATGCCCCGCCTCTCTCAAACGCTTATTTGAGACTTTAGTCTTTGCAACTTCAGGGATCTTATCTATGCACAATCAGCTTGTAACACTCCAAAGAGAAACGAAAACTTGAAATCGCATCATATGACCCCTTTAAGGCATCACATAGGTGAACATGATTTTCTACATGCTAGTCAATTGCATGTTGTATTAGTGGGAAGGACATTCTTAATTGAGAGCATCTAATTGGACAAAAATCGGTGCAGGATGAGTCATTTTTATTTTTAAAAAGAGAAGATTACAATTTAGATATGTATATCTACTAAAAGTGAATTCTGTATTTTTTTTATTGAGTACACTGGCATATTGTTGATCTAAAGGCCACACACTAAAGACCACAAAACACTAAGCATTTCATGAGGGATGTTTAGTATTCAGTGTACATTTGATCAAGCAAACAGGTTAACAGCAAAGTACTTAGGGAATTAGAAGGATGTGGGTGGTATTTGAAAGGTTGGGCTTTTAATAGATGTGAGTGGAATTTGAAACAATAAGGGTTGTCATAGTGTTATTCTGTTAAAATGACTATTTCTGTAAGCTAATTTGTATTTATATATCTTTTTCGCTGTAGAGTTAATTTTATTTCAATTCTCTTTTATTCTGAATTTTTTTTTTTAATCCAAGCAAAATCAGTGAAGGTGAAAATTAGGCAGAGTAATCGGGACGAGAGATGTCAGGACAAAGGCAAGAAGAGACCAGGTCGTGGAAAGGCCAAGCCCGTGGTCAGTGATGATGACAGCGAGGAAGAACAGGAGGAGAACGTAGGTCCACCAATCCTCTCATCAAATAGGCCTGTCATTGATACAGTCTGTTTAGCAGGTTGACATTTAGCTTAATTAGATTATTGTATTCAAAAACCTCAGGTGCATACATTGACATTTTGACTGAACATGCTTGAGGAGGATATTATCACCAAAAAAACAGGCTTTTATTGAGTGCTTATGGGACGGCTAACTGCGAAGAGGTGCTTCCACTCAAAATGTAGCCCACAGACAGCCTCTAATATCTCAACAGAGAATTCTAGATGCTTAGCCACGTCCTTATCTTTCATCTTCTGTGGTGTTTGAGATGTTGTGCAGTTCCCCGAGGGAATCGTTTAACAGAAAAAGGATATACTGTGCCCTTAAACTTAGTTTTAATTCCTCTCTTTTTATCCCATCTGCTGCAGTTCAAGAGGGAAATGTAAGTCTCTCTGTTTCTCTCGCTTTCACATACGCTTTCTTTCCATTGTGTAATTGCTTCATGACGGAATATCAATCCTCATATAAAGTCAGTGTGAATATGTCAGAGCCGTGTGACCAAGGCCCATGAGTCAGTGTTAGATTGTCTCATTAACCAGAAATAACGAGGTGCATTCAGTAACCAGCTCAGTCCACGAATAATGAGCCTCTGCGGAGCAGCAATCAGTCAGGTGTGGTGTGGGCGTGACGGAGGTCACTGAAGCTCTGCCGCGGGGCGCTCTGTGGTCCGCACATGTGTAATATCGTTGTGTGTTTGTTTTCAGGAGCAGTCAGAGGGGAGCCACAGCGACGATGAGTGAGGAGGGGATGAGCTGATCATCAGCATTCCCTTCACACGTTTATTTGCTTCTTTTATTGTCGTTCATCACCCAGCTCAATTATTCTGTGCTTCACTTGAGGCTTTCTAAAAGAATGATTGTGCTTTTCTCTCTCTTTTTGTTTTATGTTATTGTATGTTTAAACACTTTGTCCTGTGCTTTTGTCCTCTTTTGGATGCAGCCGACTGAGGAGAATAGTCTACAGTGAGGAAACATCCTCACATTTTGCACCTTCAATAGCTTAGTTATTCTGAAATTTCCCTATGTGCCCTGAGGTATTTTAGAGATGATTTCTGTATGCTTGTATATAATTTACATTTATGCAGTGTTTAAAAAACAATCAATATATGTTTGATTTGCATCAAAGAACATAATTTATAAGCTATTCAAACCTTTTTTTTTTTTTTTAAACCTAACCCTTGGTTAATCCATGTGTTTCAAATTTACAAAGCATATCAAAAAGTTTTCAGGTGTTACTTAAAGTGAAGTCCTCATTACGTGAGCATTTTGTATCATCTAGATTAGATCAAATATTCTAGTGACTTCTATATTGTATTGCATGCAGCACAAAAGCCAGCAGAGATTACAAATGTGTTTGAGATCGGAGAGCTGATCAGTCCTGTACTATTTCAATGGTATGTGAAATAAGAATTTGACAAGCTTTGTATCATATCCATAGATGTGGCGATTTCTCTTTTGCCTCTTGGTCTTTCATTCACTGGTTTTATACTCCGTAGTCTGATTGCTGAAGGACAAATGCAGATTTGTTGGTTGCAGTGTCATTTGCTTTACTTTCTTTAAAAGAAAAAAAAAAGTTTTTTATTTACAGTGGAGAAGTGTCTCACGGTATTTCAATTTTTCAAAGCTCATGTCAATAAGACAACCAGTATTTTCCAGCGTATTATGTCAGACTATAAACCAGCTCAGATTGGCTACCTTTTTTCATCTATGGATATTTTTCTATTTGCATTTAAAAAACAACAACAACAGTGTTACTAAGGAATGGGATGGTTTTTAAAAATGATTCTTTGCTCTTATACTGTATTAGTAGAAATATGTATTAAAAACATTTTTAATTGAATGTTATTGCTTTAAAATGTACTCATCAAACAATTTTGCATTATTGTCAATGAGAATTCTTTCTGATCTGTTCATAATCTTGTCATAATATTTACTCTCCTTGCATACTGTCTTTTGTGGTTGTAGCTCATTGCCCAAAGTAAACATCACCAATGATGAACCTTCGCTTGTTGTTCCGTTTCTTTTTTTTGTGTGTAATGTCATACTGATTGTCTTTATGAAATTCTTGTGACTTGACTGATATATTTACATTTGCAATGCTCCTCTACAAACAGACATGCAAATTCAATCCTTGTGTACACTAAAAAATCCTTCTGTTGGTTTGTAGATTTCATTAAATTTAATGTGTAGCCTAAGCTTTATTTAACAAAATTAATTTGTTTTTTTCAATATTTTTTTAATTAAAATTAATAAAAAATGACGAATAAAATCTACTCAATTCTGTTGTTAAGGATTTAGCTATTATTTTTGAATGATTCCAAATAGAGAGAATATTGAATGAATCCAACATGATGGAAACGAGCCGTTTTCAATCTACAAGCATTTCCTGTTACAAGGCGCGGTTTAAATCGGCTCGTGAGCACGAGGCACGCATGCGCTGGAGTTTCCCGCTGACAACCTGGAGGAAAAGCTGATCACCACTCTTTTTCAGTTCATTTCACAAAGGTAAGGAATATTATTTAATTTATATATGAAAAAAACTTGTTCAAATTGTCTACTTTATCTAATATAGGCGTCAATCGAAAAAGATTAGTTAAAGGGGTCATGTGATGCGATTTCAAGTTTTCCTTTCTCTTTGGAGTGTTACAAGCTGATTGTGCATAGATAAGATCCCTGAAGTTGCAAAGACTAAAGTCTCAAAACCAAAGAGATATTCTTTATCAAAGTTGTGTGTGTGTGTGTGTGTGTGCGCGCGCGAGCAAGAGAGAGCGAGCGAGAGAGAGGAGAAGGGTCTGTCTGCGGACTGCAAGACGGGCGTAACTTGAACAAGGAGGCGTAACTTTAAGTTGTCCAAATCACACAGAATCACGCGAGATGTCAAAACGAGATGTTGTCGGGCTGCGTTCTAAACCGCATACTTTCTAAGTTATAAGCACTCAATTTCTTTAAGTACTTACTTACCGAGCGCTATGAGAGTGTACAGCCTGAAGCACAGCCTGAATGCGTTAAGTTGAATGCGATTCCGTTATTAACTCCGCTAATGTGATCCAGTTTTATCCTTAAAGCATTTAAAAAAAATGTATTTTGAAAACCCAAAATCGTTATCTCTTGAATATCTTGTTAATTTTTTGTGCAAAATGTTTTATCCACAAGCAAAAGTGGCTTAAATCTCCTTTGTTTTATTCTTTTTCTTGTTGAATTTAACTCTCGTTTCATCCCTCAGGCTTCTAAAAAAAAAAGCATCATGATGAATCCCTCAGGCTTCTAAAAAAATACATCATGATGAATTATTCAGAGATATTTAACCTTGTCACTGTGCTTTTTCTCTGTGTATATTATCTCATACTATGATGAACACGTGCATTTTTGTTTTATCAGAATCAGAAGAGCTTTATTACCAAGTATGTTTACACACACAAGGAATTTGACTTGACGACAGGAGCTTCCAGTGTAGAAGAAAGTACAAACATAGTGCAGA